CTGGCGGATGTTACCCCCATTTACAAAAAAGGGCGGAAGGAGGATCCGGGGAACTACAGGCCTGTCAGTTTGACCTCGGTGACGGGCAAAGTCATGGAACAGGTTATCTTGAGTGCTATTAATGAGCACATACAGATGTTTTTTTTTACCCCATCCAACCTGGCCTTGAACACTTCCAAGGACGAGGTATCCAAAACTTCTCTGGGCAACCTGTTCCAGTGTCTCATCACCTTCATCATAAAAAATTTCTTCCTTACATCCAGTCTAAATCTACTCTCTTTCAGTGTATAACCATTGCCCCTTGTCCTGTAGCTACAGGCCTCGGTAAAATGTCTCTCTCCATCTTTCTTATAAGCCCCTTTTACACGTTGAAAGGCCACAAAAAGGTCTTCCTGGAGCCTTCTCCTCTCTAGATTTAACAATACCAATTCTCAGCCTTTCTCCATAAGAGAGGTGCTCCAGCCCTCAGATCATCTCTGTGGCCTTCCTCTAGACCTGCTCTAACAGGTCCATGTCTTTCTTGTACTGTGGACCCCAGAACTGGATACAGTGGGATTTCACAAGAGCAGAGCAGAGCAGAGGCAGAGAATTACCTGGCTGGCCACGCTTCTTTTGATGCAGACCAGCATACAATTGGCTTTCTGGGCTGTGAGTGCACAGAGCTGGCTCATGTATAGTTTTTCATCTACCAATATCCCCAAGTTGTTCTCGGCAGAGCTGCTCTCAATCCACTCATCCTCCAGTCTGTATTAATACTGGGGACTCCTCCGAGCCAGGTGCAGGATCTTGCACTTGGCCTTGTTGAACTTCATGATGTTATATGAGGACATTAAAATATAAAACGCAATGACAGTGATATATTACATTTCAGAATTTCAGGCTGGGCAGTGAGTTGGATGCACATGGGGAAGAAGGGGACTTCTATTGTCTCAGCTAAGGAGCAAGAAATGGACCAGAAAAACACAACACTGCTCACAGCTCACTCCTGAAACCACTGTGTACACCAGAGTGCAACTTACTCCATAAATATTCAAGTAAATGTCAATAGGATTAAGAGAAAAGGAAGATACTACTCATGATGGTTAGAAATAGCAGCACTCAGATCTGTTTGATGCTCTTCATGATGATGATATACAGTAACGAAACTTCAGAGGAAATCTCTACCATGTGATAAACTAAGTTCTGAGTTTTTGACTTTTTAATGTGACTACTATAATGCATTATTAGTAGTGGATTTGATTTTTATATCCTTCCTAGATACCTATGCAGGAAAAGATATTTTGCTATCACTACAAGACTAGAATACATTATCCTGCTCCTTTTAAAAAAACAAAACTTATTCTGTTTTGAATACTTCAGTCATTTTTTGCATATGATCACCAGTTTTACCTTTGTTAACATTTAGTACATTTTTGCTCTAGTTAAATAACAATTTCTTATGGCTTTTAATATTTCTAGCCATTCACTGATAGCCTGACCTACTCTTACCCACTTTTCATCCCTTTTTACTGATTTACACTCACTGTGGCCAGCTTCACTGCAGCTTTCATTAATTGTGAATTAATATATAGCACCATAGAAGAGAAGCGAGGTTGAACTCAGATTTCAAAATTAGACCGATGTATAAAAAATGTAGGATATTATTTTTATTCTTTATTAATAAACAAAGAAGCCAGGAATCATTGCAGCTGCTTACACTGCTATACAAAGGCCTTCTCTAAAGCCTTCTATAATTCCACATGAAGTCATTGAAAATGTCCAGAAGATTTTCAGTCAGACTCTCAACAAATCCAAGATTAAGATTCATAATTAATTGAAGTAGTTGTGTGTACTCTACAATTCAGAAAAGGTTTCATGTTAGATATATTGAGACAGCTGAATACTGTAAAGTGACAATGTGTAAGACTTGCAGCAGGAAACAAACAAAAATTTCTACTTTTGGGAAGTCATTTTCCATGTACCCAGCTTCTGTTTGTCCTCGGTAGATACGGTATGTCTGTTTTAGACTTGAGCTCTATAGTAATTGTCTTAGAGTCTCTTATTCTTAATTCATACTGATTTTAGGTGGAAAATGACTTGCAGATGAATCTGGTAGCCCAGCAGATGGAATTTAATTTCTCCAATTCTAATGCATCCAGAGAACAGAGGTTAATAGACTGTCCCCTGGGGAGCTCCAACAGGTCGCTTCCGACCACCAGTGGCTAAACATCACGTTGTGTTACATTGAGAAACAAGCTGTAGCTGAATGATGTTCTCTGGGTATAAAGTCGGGGTGTTGACTCAG